AAACTTTGTCCTTTGCAACCCACATACTTCTTGGTCTGGATGCTTTAAGGCATGACTGTATTACAAGCGAGTCAATATATTGAATCTTAGGAATAATCTTTTAGCAATGATTTAGCTACTTGTGGAAAGACAGTGAACCATGTAAATATAATTCTACACCAAATTAAATAAATCCCCACCTCAACTGTCCTTTGGTTGAATCCCAAAGATGCCTGAAGCCACTCTAAAGCCTCCTGACATTGAGAGGGTAGGTGACACAAGGAAATTGGTGCAGAAAGAGATGGGTTAAATTTTATCAGTTTTGTAAATTTTACGAAAACCTATGACCTTGTGAACACACTGCTAGTACTCTGTCTCGGGGCATTTCTGGAGTCAGAAGATGAGTTAGGAGGCTGCTGCAGTAACCTAGGAATGAGGTGACGGCAGGGGTAGCAAGGAGTTGGTGAGGAAGCAATAGATTTGAAAAAATATTTAGAAGGTAAAATTGGTAGGGTTTGGCAGTTGACTAAGTGCAAGTGAAGAAGATTGAGGAGTTGTTGTTTGTCAAGGTTACAACCTTGGTTGGGTAACTGGATGGGTATTGGAGTCAGCAACTGATAGAAGATTGCAGACAAAGCACAGGCTGGGAACGGGGAGGGGGAAACCAATTCAGTTCTGAGCTGCTTTACCTCGAGATGCCTTTGAGGACATCCTGGTGGAGGTGTCTATCTGATAAGCACCTCACTTAAGAGTAAGAAGCTCCAGAAAGAAGTCGTTAGGACTGGCACAGATTCTGGGGTCATCAGTGGAAGTGGAAGCTGAAGTCCAGGGGAAGCTGAGATTGCACATGGAGAGCTGAGCAAGAAGAGGAATGGACCAAGCACAAGACAAACCATGGGATCCCAAGCATTTAACCAGCGAGAACAGTAAGATGAACCCATGAAAGAGACAGAGTGTTCCTAAATGAATATAATTCAACACTACACTTATGATAAAGTGTAGTTTAACATGCGTGGTGATCTTTTCTCCCTTCTCTTTTTTGATACTTTAGATTTGGAAGAGGGAAATACACTACTCTAAAAGTGAGCTTTTTATTATGAGACTTTGTATACATTCTGTTAGCTGGTTTGTTAAATGGTATTCAAAATATTTGCTTGCATTGAGGGGAAAAAATGGGATCGTAAATACTCCATATGTAGCTCTTCTTGCCTCTTTCCTCCACTAAAGACTTAAAAAGTGGAATGAGTCTCTTCTTTAATCCATTTCAAGAATTAGTTGGGTGGCGATGGACAATATCTTTCACTAAGGTGGATGCCAGCAGATGATAAGCTCCCATCAGGCTGCACAAGCCTGTGCTTGGTGGTGAAGGCTCCAGGTGGCCCTCTGCCTGTGACTCTTCAAGGCATGACAAAGCTCATGACATTTGTATTTTCTACAATATTCTCTTTGGTGTGGGTATAACTCAACCATTCATGGTTAACACTTTGACCTCGAGGATAAACCAAAAGACTAGATGGCATTGCCCTTCCTCCACCCTGACAATGCCTGAAATGGGCAGTAGTGAGTTCATTTTTGTATGCTTTCGAATGAATTTAAGACCCACTTTTTAAGAGTTGTGTTTTAATTCTTCTTAGGGATTCCATCAAAGATCAGAGTCCAGCTGGCTTTTTAGAGATGGGTTATTCTGCAGAATAATCAAGTTGTAGTGGAGGACATCGATAACTGGAGTGGATCTTGGGATTCCCTGAGCTGGTTCTGGGGCCGGGTTGGGGACTGGGATATGACAATGCCACGGTGATTTTCAGTAGTTTGAAAGCTTAATGAAATTTGTAACGACGCGAGACCAGTCTACACTGGCTTATTGATTGTTCTTCTTGGTTAGTAGCTGGAATGACATTAGCTCAGTGGGTAAATACAGTCTGTCTCTTGCAGTCCATGGTAGTGATAGAACACAGTGTTTGATGTCTGATAATTAAGGATAACAAAGTGAATATTACTTAACAAACATTAGACTCAAAGCATCGCCTGTGTTCTTGTGGCACTAGTCTTTTTATTTCCTAAAGACTTGGCTTTTCTAGTCCATCTTCCAGAGCGAATTCTCTAAAATGCTGATGTGGTCAGGATGTCTTCTATGACTTGGCCCCTCTATTTTCCTCAAGCCTCATCTTTCAATTCTCCTCTTCTTTTATGCGACTCTCTGGCCTTAAAATGAAAGTACATAAAATTCCGTGAATGGTTCAGTGCTGTTTCTAGCTCCTGGCCTCTCCACATGCTATCCTCTCTGCCTTTATCCATCTGGAAAATAAAGACACACTTTAGTTACCTTCTCTGGGAAGCTGGCTTTTATCCATCTCTCTGTAGAGTTTGTCACATGTTGCTTTCTGCCACCACCTTACAGTGTAGAAATCTTACTTCTCTTAGTGAGTTAATTAACTTGTTTACATACATTTCTCATTCTTTGAACTAGGAACTGTTTATATCTCCAGTACCAAGCATAGGACCTGACACAAAGTACTTTCTTCATAAGACTTTGTTAGATGAGTGAATGAAAACAGTAGAAATCTTTAAGAAAAGTTCGTTACCACTGACCCCATTGTATATGTATCTCTTCTCCCTTTCGAAATATTACTAAACGTTAAAAAAATAGTTTTTAAATGAAGTCAACAGGACAAGAGCTGTCCATGCTTGAGAGATTTCACAAGTTGTCTGGGAAACACAAATAGGTGGAGGAGTGCTGACTGAAGAAGTAGGATGAGGAAATCGAGGTCCCCAGTGAGTGCGGAAGGGGCTATAAGAACAGAGAATAGATTGGTCTTAAAGAACCCTAGAGAGCCAGGGTCCTGGGAATGCAGGTGTGACAAAGGGTGGAAATGAAATGGAGCAGGAAATGGGAAGGCTGATTAAACTGCTACACATTTCCTGTCAGATCCTCCACTCCTTTACCACACTTTCAAACAGACTTCCCTGCACCCATGTGCCTGGGCTTCCCCGTGCGTATTTCCACTCACCCCAACGTGTCTGTAGCCACCTTGCCACTGAACCGTGAGGCGTGTAG